AATTGAACCAAACGGGAAACACCAGCTTTCAAATAAATAAACAATTTAAATCTCTTCACCTAGCTGATATAATGTGTTTAAAATATTTGTATCTATTAAAATGTTGAGGACTATGTGAGGTAATATATTAAAACGCTATTATTTAATTCATTGTGACCATTTTGAACATTCGTTGCTCCACTTTGTTGTCCACGTGTGTTTGAATTCATAAAAAATATGTAGAAGTCGTGGTTATAAAAAGTCAAGCATTACTAACTAAATATATAGGGCTCACCGTCATCGAATACGGTGTTTAGGATATGATGATGAATATAAAACTACAAACAAACTAATTATTCCAACAAACGTTGCATTCAATTTAGAGGATTTCAATATAGCTTTTCAGGGGTTGTTTAGAATTAAGTTTTATCATTCTTTAAAATGTGTTTATTACAACGTATTCACTGACACATGAGGACTCATTTATATCTATTTTTAAAAAGTTAAAATATTTTTTGAAATAACATTCCCATCATTATTGCTAATATAATTTTGAAGTATAAGTGAAACATTTCACAGCGTAAGATTATGTAAAGAATTCCGAAGGAACTTTTCGATTCAGGATTATGAAATACTCTTTTTATTAATTTAAATGGAGAAATATACGGATATAAATGTGGATATTACGAATATGGAATTCATGGTACATTATTTCACAACACACTAAAAATGATTGTACAAGATAAAAGAGAGCTTTATGGTATTGAACTTTTAAAACTGGAGCTATATTGACCCTAAGCTACTCTGCCGGGAGTAATTTTAAAGCGTATTCCTCCACCTTATCTGTATTACACTCCTAGGTATCACGACAAGCGATAGATGGACGAAATTATTTAAGATTACTTACTTTTAGATTAGTTATTAATGAATTTAATTATTTGTAATTATTAATGAATTATTTGTTATTATAATCATGATTGTAATTATTAATGATTTTTTAATGTATTAATTGAACCTTTCGCATTGAATACTCCGCCTGTTGGAATTCTGACAATCTGAATAATTAATCTGTCAGAGAGTTTCCGGAGGGTTTTTGAACACTCATCTTCATCATGTAATATGAGATCCAACTTTTGATAACCATTAAAATTAATTGAAAACTGAGCGGAGGAAAAATTCATACATAGGAATATGACATATTTAATTAAAAACATGTATTTCTTACAGTGAAATAACTTCATATAATATATAAATTGTATATTTATATAAAGACTTCATATATATTTTCGACCAACGTGGTAGAGTTAGGAAATAGTTCGGTCATCTTTAACAAGCACAAACTTTCGTGTCTTTTCAGAAGAAAGTCTCGTTGTTATTAGGTCACGTTTTCTATAAACTTTTTATACTCGTATAGTTTTATTATGAACAAATGAAACTTTATACTTCTGTTACTTGTTTCATGGGGTGTTTGTTTCTGTTATTTATTTTAACAGGTAATGAATAAGTGGAATAGAAAAATCTACTTACAACTACCAACTTACAGTAATGAATTTTGCGTATAGTGTTGTAAGTAAAACAAGGAACAGAGAGAGATATGTATATATAAGTAGAACCGCGCATTTCCAAGCTCTCGGATAAAATGTAAACTTGTCCCCAACGTATTTTAAATGTCACGTTAATTCGCTGCTGGTATAATTTGCTGTTTTTCAGAATATGTCAATTTGATTTGATATTTTAGAAACTTTTCATAACCTGAAGATAAGGATTTATAAAATTGCTTCAACGTCAATAATAGGAATACACAACTGACTATAATCAGGCCCAAGGGCAAAACTTCTTGCTAACCATAATTTTTATAGTTTGTTCTTAGCAATAGACGGCAGTGGCGTGCACACCCTATATGCAAATAAGCAGTACATGCTTTACCCATATAACAACTAAACCTATATTGTTTAATTCTTATTTACATACTTTTAGTCATACGTTACGAAACACAGATGTTTATAGACATTTAAAATGACATTCGATTCACGATTTGTTAAAAGTGCTATCTATAAAGTACATAAAACGAATCATTTTTGATCAGCCAATGCCAACTGCTAGCGCCGCTATGCAGCCAGAGCGGCGGTATGCATAACCACTCTGTGCTTATGTTCCATATAAAAATTCTCAAGGACGATCTACAAATCTCGTGTATGTATTCAGGAAATGTTTGTATGTGTGTGCTAAAGTGACACACACAAACAAAAAAAAGCATAATGTTCGAGAAGCATTGATTTTTGTGTATAAAAGTAATAGTTTTATATACATATCGATACCTCCCACGTAAGTTGTTGTATCTCCAAAAGCGTAATTTTACAGTAGAGCGTTTTAAAGATTCAAATTAAAACAAAATCTGCATTTATTGATGCATTTTTTTAAAATTTCGTATTTAAATTTATGTTAACATAATAGTCTTCTTAACTACGTTAAAAGATATTTTAATTAATATGCCTATTTGCGGAGATATTGTTGTTATATTGTTCATACGACATTTTACTCCGGAGTAGAAGCTAAAAAAGGCGTTGTATCTGATACTTACAACATTATACCGCTGCGCCCAGGTAGCATCACTTGTGGTTATATGATAGTTACAACTGTATACGTTGAAAAACATAAGTCTTATTCTGTTGTATGTAACTCATACGCGGCGCGAGCGCGTAATTTTACCCACCTCGCGCCCCGCGTAAAATATATAAATATTTTAAAGTTGTAAGTTATCTTTTTTTTAATACCAAATACCAATTTTATTAAATAAAAAGAAATGAATGATTTTAATTTCCATTAAATCTAAGTTAAATGGAAAGGGTTACACAAAATAAGTTGCAATCGGGTAGTTCGTTTAGATGTTATTTAAAATCCATATTTAATACATTATGATAAAATATATAAAATTTGTAACTTTACTACTGTACTCTTAACTTACTTTATCTCTTAATCAGTAAACATTAAGTAACGCGTTTCAGTACACGTGTTCAGTATTTACTTATGGTCGTTATAACGTGTGGATAAGGTCTAAGTTATAACCTAGTAGTAGACAAGTGTTTATTAATATATATTTATTATAAAACGAACGATCTAATTATAAACGAACATGGTTCATATTTATATTTCGCAAACGACATAACAGTTTTATAATTAACATTGTCTCAGCATTATTTATTTAGAGTAAACTTTTTGTAAATAACATTAATTAATAACTTTTAATTTGTATTTACTGATTTAATTGAAATTCATTTTCTAAAATAGCATTTTTCAATGGCCTACAGGAAATTTAAAGTTAGAAGTCTATTTAAAACTTTTCAGACGCTAGACAAAGGGACGAGTTGCTAAGCTTCAAGCGTCCCTAAATTTCCGGGTATAATTTAAAAGTTGTCTTTGTTTTTCTACAGTTGAAGTTAAAATAGCTATATATAGGTTTATAATTATCTTCCAAGTGGGACTCTTCAATTAGTTAATGTTAATAATCCACTCTTTTGATTTGTTATTTTTGCCTGTTAACATAGTTCTACTCTAATTGCAATCTCAGTATATGTGGCATGTATGTTGTTTTTTCTGTACCACACCTGTAGTTCTCTGGAAAAAAATTACCAGGGAATATAGACTTAATGGTTATTTTATTTTTGTTTTTTTTTAAAGACCCGAGTAATTTATTTAAATTTATATTCATCAATATAAATGAATAGTAGGTATTACTACATAGTATTTTATAGCGCTGTCGAGAATATATGTGAGTGTAGAAGGTGCAGGTCATAAATATTAAACAGAAGTACATACACGACATGAATCAGTAGAGTGAAGGCAAACAATGCTAGCGTCTACCGAATAAGTTACTGCCTATTTCTATTAAATTATTTATTTGTTAAAGAGCCTAAATTTTAGATGGGACATTACACTTTTTTCTTTACGAAAATTTTATGCATCACAATTTCGTTTTAATTAAATCGTAGTTAATCTTTTCTATTTCAATGAGAAGTTTAATGAGTTTAAAAAATATATTTATTTTCATAGATTATTTTATCTTTTGCAAATTTAAAATACATGAAATCAAAATTGATATTAGTTAAAACATAACAAGTTCAATTTAAAATTCGTTTAAATGAAACTAATATTTTCGGATTTTACTCCGCGTTTTATTTTAGAAACTACATACTCCCGACGTTTCGGCTACTTTTCAGCAACCGTGATCACGGGCAGACGAGAGAAAAGTAGCCGAAACGTCGGGAGTATGTAGTTTCTAAAATAAAACGCGAAGTAAAATCCGAAAATATTAGTTTCATTTAAATGTGTACTCGCGAAAATCTTAGATCTCATTAAAATTCGTTATCAGACCAGGGAGTTGGAAATTAATTGTTGTGTTTACAAATGTTACATTACTTTCAAAGTGAAACTTTGCATGTGTAACTATACATGCACAGACTAAAAGTTCAAAACCCAAATACAATAATTTTAAGACTTGTTACGCTTGAAATAAACTTAGTAGGGGGAAGTCCCGTAACGCCGGACGGCACCTAGCGCCGGACACTCGTACTATTTAAGCGAGTATAAATCTGTTCGATTCAAAATACAAGTGAAAGGGGCGCGGGGGGCACACAGGTACAGGATCACGCGCCGCGCCTCGCCAGTGACGCACACGGCCACGGCGGGAGCAACCGTCAGCTGTTTTAGGCGCGAAATCACGGCGTCACCTAAATATCAATGTAAGTAATTCTAGTATATTTATGCATTTATATTTGAGTGGTATTCAAAGATAAAAGTAGTACTTGATTGTTATCCGTAAAATGGTAGAATATTATTAGATCTTTTAAACAATTTTAGTAGGTACCACCTAATGAACGAAAATGTCTGTCCCTTAGCACCGGACACTAAGTCGTCCCTTAGCGCCGGACAGTAAACATATTGATATTTCTTGTAAGAATTTACGTCATTTATTCTAATTATTTAATTTTGTTTTAGATTATAGAAGAAAGAAGATAATTAAAATGGAAGAGAAGAAAAAGAAAGGATCCTGGGAGCCACAGAGCTTACGAACTGCTATTGATAAGGTTATGTCAAAAGAACTGAGTGTAAGACAAGCTGCAATGCAATACAATATTCCTAAAAGCACTATTCATGATAAAATAAAGGCCCTAAATCGAGGAGAAGAAGTAACAATGAAACCAAAGTTAGGTAAGTTCACTAGCACCTTCTCAGCAGAGTATGAACAAGTCTTGGTGGACCACATAAAAGATTTATCGAATAGATGCATGCCGCTCATGAAAAAGGAGTTTCTAAAATTAGCATACGACTTAGCTGAAGTCATGAAGATGAGATTCCTCATCGATTCAATAAAGAAAAAGGCAGTGCTGGTAAACATTTTTACTACGACTTCATGAAAAGGCATTCTGACATTTCGTTGAGAGCACCGGAATCGACAAGCATGATGCGCGCCGTAGGATTTAACAAACCACAAGTGGATCTATTCTACGACAACCTTGAAAAGCTGATGAAACAGTACAAATTCACACCCTCAAGAATTTATAACTGTGATGAAACTGGTGTCAGTTGCGTGCACAAACATCAAAAAGTTCTCGCTCCGAAAGCCATCCGTCAAGTAGGTAAGCTCACTTCTGCTGAGAGAGGCAAAAACATCACAGTTTTGTTCTGTATGAGTGCTAACGGTCACTACATACCCCCATTTTTCGTATTTCCTAGACAAAGAATGAATGAAAGGCTTATGATGAATGCTCCAGCTGAGAGCATCGGTGTGGCCCAGCCAAAAGGGTGGATGAATAGTGACTTTTTTTTGCAATATCTAAGAATATTTGTCAAACACACGCAACCAACCAAAGAGAACCCTGTGCTGCTTCTACTAGATGGCCATTGCAGCCACAAGACATTGGCGGTAATCAGTTTTTGCAGAGAAAATCATATTCACTTGATGAGTTCACCACCACACACTACGCACAAGCTCCAGCCTCTGGACAGGACATTTATGAAGCCATTTAAAGATGCATACAGCCAACGATGCGACTTGTGGATGAGAACAAATGCTGGATGTCGGATAACGGATTACGACATTGCTGGTTTGGTCAAAGAAGCATTTATAAAAGTAGCTCGATTGGATATTGCAGTATCTGGATTCAAATGCACTGGAATCCATCCATTTGACAGACATTTATTTTCTGACCTAGATTATTTGGCTGCAGATATGACCAATATACCACTAGAACAAACAGAAACTTCATCGAACCCACTAAACAACGAACAAGCTGTCGTGATATCAAACTCAATCATAGAAGAGCAAATAAAAGAATCCGAACAATCTATTAGTGAGCCTATAACCACAAGTCCCAAACCGTCGACAAGTTCTGCTCCCGATCTTGTTCAGATAATCCATAACTTATCACCGTTGCCTGACGCAGCAAAAAAACGAACAGCAGCTCGAAAAAGAAAGAGTGAACGAAGTGAAATTTTAACTTCATCGCCATACAAAAAAGTGGTAGAAGAAAAAGAAAATGAAAAGAACATGAAAGATAAAAAGAAGGAAATAAAATCTAAGTTTGAAGTAGCAATGAGAGGTAAAGGAAAGCAAACCAAAGGAATTAAAACCAAAGGAAAGAGCGTAGACAAGGGAAAAGAAGCGACAAACGTGAAACCTAAAGGAAAGAAAGGAAGTGAAGTAGAACCATTAACTGAAACATCTAACACAAACATAACAATTTGCGTAGTTTGCTTAGAAGACACTGACGAAGACTGGATCCAGTGCTCATCCTGTCGTGGATGGATACATGAAGCATGTGCAGACATTCCAGAGTGTGGAGATGACTATATATGTGATCGATGCAGGTTATTTTGAAATGTCCGGTGCTAGGGGTATGGCACAAGTATTCGTCCGGTACTAGGTGCCACTTTCTAAAATTATATTTTTTGTTAACAAAGTTTGATTGATAGTATTAATTATTTTTAAGCAGAGGTTGCATTTTTGTTAATTTAATTTGATTTCTAACTTTGTTATCTAATATAAGTCATAATTTAATAAACATTTCTTAAAATATTTTTTGTTTTATTTATAAATAACCTTAAGTGTCCGCCACTAGGGGACTTCCCCCTACATGCTTACCATTGCCAGAACCAGTATCTCTAATAAAGTTATCAAATTTACGAATTTAAATATATTTAAGTTGTTGAATTTGTATCAACTTATACTTTAAAAGGAAATAAAAAGGCATATAGGAAATGAATAAGCATATTTATTTTATTTGTTAAAAATATTATTTGATATTGTTTTACTTAAAAATTTGTTGTTGTTATTTTTAACTTGTGCCGATAGTAGCTAAATACGCATACGTCGTCGTCATCAGCCTATCTGAGCCCACTACGGAGCCAAGGCCTCTTCCTCACAAGAAGAAGGTTTGAGCAGTAATTACCACGCTTGCTCAAGACGGGTTGGTGATTTCGAACTTATAATTGTGAAATTATAAGTACAGGTTCCCTCACGATGGTTTCCTTCACCGTCTGTCAGTGGTGTCTAAATACTCTTAGAAATTACGTATGACTAGCAAAAATCACATTGGTACTTGCCAAGATCGAACCCGTGCCCTCGGGCACGAGAGGCGGGCCTTTCACAACTAGGTCACCACTAACTTTATACTCATACACATGTGTATATAGTAATATATACATATTTAGTAATTTTAAGTAACTGTAGAAATGGTATTAGGAGCGTATTATCTAATAACACATTTTAAACGGGAAATTGAAACAATTTGTATAGATTTTAGAACAGATTTCATTACCTTAGAAATAGTGTTTAATTTTCTTGTAATAAATTATTATTTTTGATGTATTACTTCAGCAAAGACATTATTTATTCAGGATTATTATCTGTTCAATTTCTTCTTTCCAATAAGTGTTTTTCTTTATACTTTCCGACATTATTATACATAATAGATACCAAAATGAATATATTTGAAAAATTTAATAATATTCAAATGGTTTATCATAAAATAGAAAATTGATGCATAGTAAAGAATAAGTTAACGGTTTAGTTTCAAGATCAATTGGTAACTTATAAGTATAAATATAAAGATAATATGTAATTTATAATATAGAGATAATTGCCACCTTTGAGAGAAAAAAATAATAATAAAATATTAAAAAAATACATAAAAGTAATGTTTGACATGCAGTAAGAAGTTTCTATGGTTTTAATAGTTTTAACTACTAATGGCATTAATAAGGCAATGTTTTTTATCGGTAATGATATTTAGAATCTTTATAATACATATGTACCTATATATCAAAGAGTACCTTTCATAGTAATGATAAATCTTTTATCTTATATGATTAACTTCGTAGTGGATATTTTCAGATAATGACTTGAAAAAAAGAAGTATTATTTAATGTGTTCTGAAACCGAATTTGTCTCCTCCCAGTGGTGCCTGATATAAATAAAATATATCAAAGTGAGCGAGATAATATACTGTCACTTTTCCATAGTTTCTTTGAAATAAAATTATAATAACTTTTATGTAACGTTTTGAAGTATGTTGTTCCTAATGTCAAGAATTTTTCTGTACTTTATTCAATAGGATAAAATGTGTCAAACAATAAATTATAATTTGTATCACAACTATTAAACTCATATAAAATAAGTCTTTAAAGCACACTTTCAACCTACCAGATGCTGATATGTATAACAAAACGTGTGTTAAAGTGTTAACTAAATGAATTTACTTTGTGGTAGGCCAGAGTTTAGTCACACATTTTGTTCTCGCAATTGTATGCAATTTCGTAATTATTTAACACTTTTATTATTTTTGGAATTTAGGTACTGCCGATTCGATTATTAAAATTGAGAAAATCTTGTTTATTAATTTATAGCACTGATTGCAAAGGGTCAGCTATGAATTGGTATTTATTTCCTTAATATTGCAAACGAAATAATAGCAAATAAAAACAAAGAATACAATATAGCTTCGAATGTTTGTCAATCAAATATGGGATGGATGTTTTTTGTGTGCTAATGTCATGGAAACGGGAGATATTAAATTTATAACTGAGATTCCAGTGAAAATGAAACAATAGTATAAAATAACTTGTGACTAACTTAACGAATATGTAATTTTCTATGTAAGTCTTTTACGCTGGACTTCATCCACGAGGACTTTAGAATAAGACTATTTAAACAATACATAATGAACCCAACCGTTTGGTTATGATACCAATCAATATGGTATCAAGCAAAATGCGGAAGCAAGTACAAGGCAACAGGGTCGGAGATAACACCAAGATATTCCAAGATAAACTTTAACCTATGTCTATTGTATATATTAATATGTCTTATTTTGACAACTAAGCTGAATTTTTCACTATTATTATCAAAATTTGTTAAGTGGATTGTATCGGAAAGAACGATAAACAACCATAAATTTGAACATATAAGCTCAAAGTTCTACTTGTGTTCAAATTTAAACTGTGGACTTGTTTTAATTAAATATTTTAAACTGTAAACTCCTTGTACAGAATAAATAAAATCAGAAATATTTTTGACCCAAAAATCGTTATAATCTTACTATTCATATTGCCTTACTCTCTTCCCTATCGTAAAAAGCATTCAGACTCATAATGAGAAATGTTTTGCAAGTTCATATTCGAAAAATTGCATCAAGCGGGCTTCAGAAAAAGCAATTTAACGAAGAAAGAATTTAATATAAAATGGTATTTTGAAATTGTAATACATATTATGACAGTTTATTCCGTTTCCTTGCAAAACAATGAACCAACTATGTATTAGTTCGTGGTTCATTATTAACTAATAAATATAAAAAGTAAAAGTAAAAAAGCAGATTCCTTAAAACTATCCATCTTAAATATTAGTTTTGTACTTGTTCACTTTCTTGATTTTACCCTTCAGCTGCACATTTCATATGATTTATGTAAAAAGCCGACACTTGACAGAATCGGCTACAAGCGTATGCAAGCCGACACAGGCCAAAGCAAACACATTGTACACATTACTGAATTTGTTATGGCTTGTAGAGGTGTTGGCGTGTGGACGAGGCATGATTAAAAATCTGACCAGCTATTGTGACGTGTATAATCAAGAAAAAAGCTGATGCATTCATAATAAATTTTTCATTTATAATATTTTCGTATTTAATAATGAAAATTTTATTTTTATTTTCTATAAAATTATTTTAGCTAAAACAAACAATTGAGGTAGTACGTATTGTGGACGTGAGAGTAATCAACTTGATCGAATTGAAATCCCTATTAAAACTGTCCATTCATTGATGTTTATTGAGTGCACTCCAATAGCTTTATGAAAATGGAAAAAATCACGGGGTGATATGACCCAGACGGCTATCAATTTTGTTATGTACTTACTAACAAAAGATACCAAATGTATTTTTGTAAGGAGTTCACCGATAGGATACGTTTTATTACTTATAAATATATAACAGCTTATTGTATTTCATTCTTAAATTAAACCATAAAAGAAAGTTTTAATTCTAGATATTTAATATTAATTCGAAAAGAGTTGTAATTCATTAGTTGACTAAGATATTTTTAATCTCATACATTAATTTAAAAAGACGATCATAAGAAATCCAATGATATATGTATAAAAGTAAGACAGGTGGTTAAAAACGACCAGTTGATATATATTCTTTGGTATATTTAATTTCTTCTTCTAATTTCTCAGCTATAGCCAGGGTTTGCCTTACGTATTAAGAATAGTTTTGGCTAATTGTTTTTACGAACGGCCGCCTGCCTGACATCAACCCTCTTTGGAAATCCCTTCTTTGGAATTAGAAAGTACATATGATTCGGAAAAATCACATGGCCCGGGTCAGGATCGAACCCACGGCCTTGTGCATGAGAGGTGGGCCTTTTAACCACTAGGCCACCACTGACTTTTTTTTGGTATATTTAATTTATACTAACATAATCATTTAACTTCTTATTATGTGATTTATACTGTCATATCTTGATTTGAGAACTAATTAAAGCAATTATAACAGTCTTGGTGATCTGGTTACGACGGAGAGATATGAGTTGTGCCGCTAACATAGCACCGAATACTTACAATCTTTAAAGAAATCCTGAAAAATAAAAATTGTGGATAACATCTCTTTTGTGAAGCTATTTACTTATATAATATTATTCAGATTTATTGTAGCGTATGTATGTTTTTTACAGCGTTTCCTGTGTTTATTAAATATAATTAATAATTTTATGAATTCTTTCCTAATTAGTCCATTGTATACAATTTATATGTATACCACGGATAAATAAACACATTTTGTACATATGTACAGTGTATAAAACTTTAATGAGTTCAATAGTCTACCATTATTTTCTATAGGTTGTTAAATATTAATAAAAGAGTCACGTATAATATCACTGAAAAACCACTAATTTTATGCAAGAATATCAAAGACAGTTTCAGCATTGACACCACGTTTAAACTTATTTTTTCGGATAGTGTGGGAAGTTAAGCTTGTAGTGTACAATTTCAAATAAGTGTTTTCATGTTGGAATTCAGGAAATATGTAACGCTTGAACCTTCTTCCTCTATGTTATGCCGCATAAAGTTTAGTGGTATTTAGGTTTTGAGCTCTTACTTTTAGCTTAGGATATGCTTCATAAATACTTTAAAAATTTTAATTTCGGTTTAAAATCTCATGAAAAAACCCATTCAAAAACATTGAAGTAAATTATAATATTGCTCTACAAATTCAATTTAAATTCTCGTTATTGTTCTGTCAGTGTTGTACTTTAATGCATTTTAATACACCTAATATTAACTACCAATTTTTCAGACAGGTTTGTGAATCCTTTTAATATTTT